TGGTGGGGGGGGGAGGTAGGAGAGCCTTACCTTCCACCTTCACTGAGAAGGTGATGCTGGAGCCTTTGTTCACTTTCTTGGAGGCGAATCTTTCCAGGAATCGGGGCGGCACCAGCTGCTGGTGTGCATCTGGACAAACAGCAGACACCGGCGATGAACGCATGTCGAGCCCCTGCTCCCTGTTGGGGCACCAAGGCCTCCAGGGGCACCTGCTGCAGCCCCAGTCCCCAGGTCCCAGCCTCATGCACCTGGAGGTTGGGTCTCTACAGCCTGCACCCAACCCTCCTCGGTCTGCAGGGTGGTGTCCCGCAGGCACTGTGGCTGAGCCTCCCACCATCCGAGTTGGCTCACCTGGGGCTGGCTTCTCTTCAGGATCCTTGGGGCCTGAAAGAGCAGGAAGTGGAATCAGGCCTGCAGCACCGAGGGGCCTGTCTCCCCAGAGCCCGTGCACCTGCCGAGGGTGGGGGTACCCACTCCTATCCACACCCTCCCTGAGACTCAGGCCATGCAGGGAGCTCACACTGAGGCTGCTCAGACCCAGTGTGATGTCCCCCCACCCCACCGCGCCAGGAGTGTGGGGGTCGCTCTGGCACTGACGCAAGGTCGCATGAAGGTCAGAGGGAAGCCTGGGCAGCGCTGGGTCCCTCAACCACTGCTGGCTCAGGTGGTGATGCTCAGAACTTTGGAGAACAAATAAGTGCAGACATCTCCTCCCACAGAAACCACTGACCTCTTCCTCTGCACAGTCTGCTGACTAACCCGTGCCCCCCACCCATCCCGGGGCACGTGTATGGAGGCGGGGGGGTGGCAGACGGCGGCCCAGGTGTAGACGCTCCGTCCCCAGCACCCACCCCGGACCAGCAGCCTAGCGGACGAGTAGGCGGCGCCCGCGGCGTTGCTGATGTAGGCTGAGTACTGGCCAGCGTCCTCCCTGGTGACCGACAAGACCTCCAGGGTGTGAAGTGTCTTCCTGTCAGCCATGCGGATGTGCTCAGAAGCCGTCAGGGGCTGCCCGTCTTTGAACCAGTACAGTCGGGGCGTGGGGTAGCCTGCAGCCACAGGGCAGTGGTCAGCACCGAGCCTCCGTCCCACGGGGGCACCAGTGACGGCCCAACCTCCACCTGGCCAGTTCTCTCTTCCTCACCTTTCACCTTCAGCTGGAATTTGGCCAGCCGTGTGCCGGGGGCCA